CCCCCCTGCTCTCCCGGGCAGAGGCAGTGGGGGATCCGACGAGAAGTGAAAGCACTTCGGGTGGGGGGGGTGTCGTAGCCGCTGTGACAGAACGGACGAGCAGTGAGGGGAGAGAGAGGCGCCGGCTGTCAGATCCTGGCCGAGCGTCTCTCTCTCCTCACCGCTCTGCATTAGTTCTGTGACAGCGGCTCCGCCCTCCCCCGCCGCCGGTTCCTTCACTTCTTCTCGGATCCCCGCTGGGGAGAGCAGCGGGGATCCAGAGAAGCGGCGATCTATCAGTGATCGCTACGCGAGAGAGGAAGTCAGGGTCAATCTAGTAATCTAGTCATTAGAGGCATGGGCAGCAATTAAAACTGGACAAAGTTCCCAAATATTCCCTATTCTGTTAAAAACTAAAACAAAAAGTTTTGTCTATTACACGTTAAAGTACATGCATAATGACAAAAACAAGGCAGAAAAATGGACAGGAGGTTTAGACTGATGGTTGGCCATCATTGTTCAATGTCAGTAATGCTTTCTCCAACAGACATACAGATCCTCTGTTCAGTGTATGCTGGGAAATCTGTGATACCACATGATGCCTTCAGCTCCTAGCAGAAATCAAAGTACTTTGCAGAGTATCTTACCTGAGCTTAAATGAATGCAGACTTGTGGAACTCTCTGAATTGTCATCCTGGAAACAGGCCTCGTCATATGTGAACTGGTTGTAGGGCAGGTAGAGGGGTGTAGATTTGACAGAAGGAGATTGTGAGGCCTCCGTCTGAGATGTGGAAGGCCCAGGCTGCAACTTCCCATCTGTCGGTTCTGGCAGTTTGGACAGGATCCGATCAATGGTTTTAAAATAGGGCCAGTCAGGGGGAATAGCTTCACCATCCGTCATACACTTCAGCTTCCTAAATCAGACACAATGATAAAGAAGTGACATTAAAAAGAATCAGTATTTGCAGATTTACAAACTCTTCAGGGTTGTGATGTTGTTTCCCATCTCTCCATGTTTATCTGCAACACCAGCATGTTCTGCATTGTAAGGTACAGTAGTCTGAAACATAATTCCATACTTCTGTAGAAAACCTGTATTTCACCACGTTTGTACTCTGTCAATATCTGTGCAGAGTTATTTAGGCATTTTGCCCAATTTGTGGCTCACTTGGGTATGATATTCAAGTCTGGAACTTCATCAAATTCACAATGAATGTTAGAAAATACCTCTTCTTTCATTGAGTGTGAGATTTTATAGGACCACATAGATCTGAGTGAATTAAATCCGAGGGCTGTTAGAATGTTATGTTGCTACTTTTGGGAAAAGATTTCCCGGTCATTTTTCCCTTAATGCAACTGGTAGACTTCTTGATTTGATTTATTGGGTCCATTTTTATGCTGCTGGCATGCTGATCTTCACATAGCTTCTTTATAGCTTACAGGTTCCTTTGTCCAAGATGCAATGATACAGCTACTACCCCTGACAATGGGTTACTTTCAGGAACAGAAGCATACAGTATATCTTTCATAGGTACTTGACAGGGTAAGACTTAAGCATATTCTTGACATAGCTTGCTACAGCCCTATCCCATTATAAATACCCGTACCCAATAATAGACCACACCAAGTTGCATATAAAATGGCTGTAGTAGCCGTTTATTTAAATATATTAACTTTATAACAAATTGAATATAAAACATTCAACCATAACAGTTTAAATACAATTTATTCCTATCAATGTGAAGCTGAGGTCTGTGAAGACACCTTTGGTCTCCTACCGTAGAGCTCTGCATACGACTTAACCAACTGGCCCCTAGCCGCAAATCAACGACTCAGGGGCAACATCGTACATAAAACTCAGAGAATTCCTACCCTCCGTCATTTTACCTCACTCCTGCGGGACCTGCAAGCTCCCGGGACTGCGTACCTCGGACGCACCCAACTGGAGTCATGACCAGCCCGACATAAGTCGCCACAACAGACGACACCACCCAGCACCACACATAACGTGAACCCCAACAACCAATGAGACAAGGGAGGGAGGGTGGGAACTGATCTCACCGTGTGGCAACCCTGAACTGCTGGCTGACCCTCCGCCCCTTCTCAAACCACCAGGGAGACTCCTCCTGACCCCACTTAATTGGCCAAACCAAGGTAAGAGACCACCCCTTGTACACCCCCCTTTTCCTAACCCTTTCTATCGTGATGCCCTGTCTGCCCTGTCATGTGTCCTTTCGCCTATTCTTTTCTGTCTTTTGCTCCAGGACCTTCTGTATCTCTCTGGTGACTGTTTGGGATAGAAGACAATGTAGATAACCTTCCCCTGCTCCTTCTGAGATCATAACATGTCCATTAGCTCTTGTAATTTTTTCATCTTGCTTTGATCAACCTGAGTGAAGAATTTTTTATCATTGGTCATGTGACTTGTAAATCCATAGTCAATGCACCAGATGAAAAATGATAAGGCACCCTCTTAGGAGAGTATCTAAAACATTTTCTACCACTCCCAGCTCACTCCTGTGATGGACTACAATCTCATGTTTAGTTTAGTAATTTATATTGAGATTGTAGTCCATCACGGGAGTGAGCTTGGAGCGGTGACTACTTTACAACACACACAGGGACCATGGGGAACAAAAGTAGCCCCCCTCCAGAAGGAAGGACAGTGTCAGCACCCATTCAGAGATGATTTGAGCATCCACAGCCAAGTGATACACAAATACGATACATTTTTGTTAGTAGCTAGGGTACTTGAATGCATTTTAAGATTTAAAGTGACATTAAAATCACCCCCCATGGTGCTTTCTCCCGTTACCCTAAGGAGAACTATGGGGAAAAACACTGACCCCATAGTTCTCCTTTAAGTGATGCCTCTTGATCCAAACATCTTCTTTCTTCCTCTTGTTTCCAGCAATCCCTCCAGCACTGGTGCCGGTCTCTAATCCAGCGCAGACTGCGGTCTCTTCCTGACTCACGGAGTCTGTCCAACGTGCACATTCATGGCCGCGTGCATTGACTTACAGTGAGTCTCTCCCCCTCTCCAAGCCAGTGATCTCCACTGCACATGCACCCGCACACATTCTCCTGCATAGCCGCTCAAGAAGCTGGATTCTGCAGATAGGAGTGAGAGGCAAAGACAGAGGTACATTTTAACCTATTTCGTCACTTTTTAGAATTTTTTTTTTTGCATATATCTAGTTCTTGCTAGCAGTAGATGTATGTAAAAGAATTGAGACTTTAATGTCACTTTAACTCCTGAGTTTAGTGTCACTATAGGCAGTCTCGGTTTACTCATCGGTATGTGAATTTGGTCTGGGCTCTCATATACTCTTCAGTGTACTCTCTCTTATCAGCTGTATCTTCATTTTACACTTCTAGCTAGTACTGGTAGTTGTGGTTTGTCAGATTAGCAACTGAAAATGTTGATAAAGCATTGTTATTAGCCATCATATATACTTCACAACCCTTTTCCTTTTCAGAGACTATGCATCTATGCAGCTATGACAGCATTCTAATAGTGGCGCATACTAGCCCCCTTTGGGATGGAGGGGCAACTTGTAGTCACTGTGTTACTAGTGCAATATGTAACTTCCCTCCAGTCAGTGGCGGATCCAGGAGGGGCAATGGGGCAATTGCCCCCCCCCCCCTAAGAAAATTCCCACCAGGAAAGCTGCGAGTGCAGCGCTCAAGGCTCAGCATTCACACAGAGCAGAGTGGAGAACGGACATTCTCCGCTCTGCTCCCCGCTCTCCATCCTGAACTACCTTGCCATGGTCCCGGGTCCCCCAGAAGAGCGGCGGACCCCCAAAGTCACGGCGGGGAGGGAGGTCGGCCAGCGGGGAGAGAGGCAGCTGGAGGTGCGGGCAGACCAAGGAGGGGGGGCAGCGGGGGGGGAGGACGGACCTGCAGGCATATTACAAGTGATCTCGGTGGCATTGCTGGGATCCCTTGTACAAAACGAGTGGCGGCTTCCCCGCACTACATTTAGCCTTGCTTGCCCAAAGCAGGGCTAAATGTAGAGAAAAACTACCCGCCCGGTGGCTGTGCCGCCCCTCTACTACTTGTCGCCTGAGGCCTCGGTGGCCTTGTGGGAGATTCGACTCTGGCAATGCTTCATGGGATTTGTAGTTTCACCACAGCTGGAGTGCCAAGTTTGCCCACCCCTGCCCTAAGGGGACTATTTTGGGGGGAAAAAATAATGAGCTTGAAATAGCAGATGGAGTGGATTCTGTAGATAGCATGTGCATGTGGTTGAGAAATGGGCAAGTTTGCCTTAAATCAGAACAGAATCCCACAATTCCTTATGGAAGCTACTTGATAGATGAACTGTATTTTACTTCATCTTATATTAGAGAAGAACTCCATTAAGCTTCATCTAAAAGAAATTCAGGACATAAGTGTATTGTGTTGATTACACTTACCTCCATACTGTCCTTCTTCAGGTACACGTATCTAAAAACTATGATGCAAGTACAAGCGTATTACTAGGCAGCTACCATTGTTCCATTATCTGAATAGAGTTAGTCCATGCAATGGTGGTCCCATAGAGATCTATTGCATTAGGCAAGAGGATGCGTCTCCTCAGCCTCTGCACATTGCACATGAGGATTGCAGGTTGTAACTTTGTAGCAAGCCAAAAGCTAAGGTTAGGTTCACACCTTTGGCGACACCTCACGGCACGGCAATCGTGCACGATGCCGCGCGGTCAGGAGTCGCCAAAGTGTGAACCGATCGCGCTGTGGGTGCCATTATTTTCTAATGAGCTGAGCTTTGGGTGACGGGAGGACGCTAGTTTGTGTCCTCCCGTTACCCTTAGGAGAACTATGGGGAAAAGCCCTGACCCCATAGTTCTCCTTTAAGTCAGCTAAATACATTCTAGGTGTGTAAAAAAGATATTCAAAATCTTTTCTTTAGAAAGCAGCCACATCCTGAGTAGAAATGCCTGTCCCCTGGCAGCATGCTGTAGTTAAAGGAGAAGTATGAGGTGAGTGAAAATCACTCATGCTCATAGTTCGAGCTGACGTGTGACAATGAACCTTTCACACGTCGGCTCAATAGATCGGGAAGTGAGTGAACACATACCGTCGCTCGCTCACTTCTCGATCATGTCCCTGCAGAGAGAGGCGACTGTCAGTCACGGCTCCCCGCAGGGATTCCCCTCTGCGATCCTCCAGCGCTGACTGTAGGAAGGGACGGGGAGGGGGAGGGCACAGCTGGCTCTGTCTCTAGATAGGCAGAGCCAGCTGTCACTCACGCAACTGGGTGGATCTCGCCAGTAATGTCGGGATCCGTCCCGGCTGCGGCGGTCTCAGTATACTGAGCTTTGGGTCACGGGTGGAGGTTAGTTTATGTCCTCCCCTGACCCTTAAGAGAACTATGCGGGAAAAACACTTAAAGTGATATTAAAAGGCAACATTTTTTTTCCCTCCCCCCCCATGTAAATGTTAGCACTTACCTTGAATGATGTCTCTTTTTCCGATCTTCCTCTTCTTTCCCCATGTTTTCATCTGTCCCTCCAGCGATGTGACGTCACTCCGATCCAGCGCTGACTGCTCTGTCTCTCCGATCCTGCGGTGTCTGCAGGCGGGTGCACGCGTCCATAGACTTACCTTGCGTCTCTGCTCGTATCCCGGCCGAGAATCGAAACTGCGCATGCGCCCGCCCCTGATTCTCGGCGCGGGATCGAGCGGCGATAACGAGGTAAGTTTAAAATGATTTTAAGCGGGTTTTTTTTTTTTTTACACTTCTTGCCTATATCTACTGCATGCTAGCAGTAGATATAAGCAAAAAAACCCGGAGGGTTTAGAACCCCTTTAACCCATAGTTCTCTTTTAAGGACCCTATTTCTCTGTGTTGAGTCAGCAGCCTCTCTGAAGATGGCAGACTCACACCCTGCCTACAACTTTGCAGTCAC